AAAATTATTATTATTATTAACTAATAGACGAAGAAAAACACTTAAAAGATAATACCATACCTACCTGTTAAACTTTGAATTGCGTGTTGGTGACTCTGCTCCTCTTAAAAGGTGTCTGAAGTACTATAACAGACAAATAAGGTATCAAAGAAAATACTGGGTTAACTGCAGTGAGGGCTACTATGCAACAACATTGCAGAATTCAGGAAACAAGAACAGAAGTAAAAGGTAAGCTGCCCATAATCTAGGAATTAGAATAGTCATCTGGAAAAGGACACACCAAATTTGCAAAACATGCTCCCAGGACCACTTATTTCACTTCACATAGTCTTGGGATTAAAAAATGAAAACCAAACCAGAAGTAAAACTAAAATTAAGCACCAAAATCCATGTCTCCTCCTTGCTAAAAATCAAGGATTTGAAGCATTATAGCTATTATGGAAAAGATGATCATCAATGCCATTTTTGAGAAATACACTTTATTAAGAACAATGCCAAGTAAGCTAAGTACCCATTCCCAGGACAACTCAATATATTCTGCTTCAAATAAGCACAAGAAGCTTAACATGCAACCTGATTTACATACACAAACTCTAAAATGGACAAGAATTCAGACTCAGCCCTGTGTTTAAAGTGTTTCCTATTAGGCAGCTTTAGGCAGCTGTTGGCTCAATGTAGGGATTTTTTTGATTTTTTTTTTTTTTTTTTTAACACTTGCATTCAGAACCTAATCATAGAACAATCTCAAATGCCTAGTAAATTGCTTTGAATGACCTTCCTGAAAACAGACACCTGACTTTTAGCTGCTGGAATGCAGCTGAAGGTACCTAAATACAACCTTTGTATCTTTCTTTAAGTACCATTGTATTTTAAAAAGTAAATAGATTCTTAAAAATGTTCTATGTCTATCATGCAGATGACTTACGCCAAACTTGCAATCATAAAAGAAGGGTTGCAGAGGATTTTATAATAGCAGTGGTATACACAAATTGTCACATCAAAAAATGAAGAGGTTTTCTTATTCTGTTGGTGGTGTGTTGAACTAGAATAAATTCAATTCTCTTACTGAGAGTGGTCTCAGCTCTGGCATGCTAACTGAAGTGAAAAATGGAGACATATTTTTCAGTTCCACACGCACGACTGTTGTGAATAAGGTATCCTAAAAAAATAAAGTCTTGCTTTAAGACTACTCTTCAAATCTTTCAGACTTACCTCATCACTGTGACAGAACATAGGCGTAAAAACATTCTCAAGTAGAGAAAGTACATGCTCATAAGCTTCAAAAAGACACCTCATAGTTTGAAGTTTCACAACATCCATATATGGACCTTCAGCAACTATAAAAAAATTGTAAATATAAATAGATACAGATATATATGGGCATAGAAAGTTTGAGTTTTTTTCTGGTCTGAGTTTGTGATTGCTTTGCAAGCTACTATAAGTCTGACATAAAAAACAGAAATAAACTGACAAAACAAGGCTTAAGCACAATATAGCAAGGGGGTAACAACTTTCAAAACTATAACAAAAGTAAAGATTGATCATATTCAGATGAATTAGTCTTCACTTTATTACAGAGTGCTGTTTAAATTCCAGTGTAAATTATTCCTTTCAAATTCAAACTTACTTCTTTGAATCTCTTCCACAATAAAAGGGTCAAATCTAATTTTGTCAATGCTTTCATCCAAACAGTAAGTTTTGTAAATTTTCTGTACTTCTTCATGAAGAGACATCTTTTCAGTATCCGATAGTTCTGGTCGCAAAATTCTGTCATTGAATTCCTCTGAGAAGTAAAGGAAAGAAAATGCATTTGTTGATCCACTTTGCTAACAAATAGCATCTTGAAGCAACATATAACATCAACTCATTTTCCAGCAAATACAGTAATTTGTAAAACCTTAAAATCAACAGAAACAGAAGACATTTCAAAATCTCAGGTAATAAGGTAGCTGCCTTATTACTATAATTCACATTTGTTCATAAAATTATTACTAAAAATATATTGCAATTAAAACTAATTATTCCTTATCACAGTAAGGATAAATCCATGAAGTTGTTCCTGGCTGGTGAATGAATCAGAAGAATGAATTTTTTCTTCCTAAATTACCAAATTGTAAATTGTAGTTTTCTTCTAGCATGATTTCCAGTTCATGCCAGACACACACAGTCCCAACAGCCGTTTATACCAGTCATGTGCCTAATCTGCTGCTATTTCATTCCTAAGACCCAACCCATCATAATATTTTCAATAATATCTTTAATATCATACTAACTTGAGAATGAACCTCCCTGACAAAATAAAAATTCTGTTCAGCACAATTATTATGCAATCCTGCCTGATTTATTGGCCCATCCCAATTGGAAGGATTATGAGCACATAAGAAGCTGCATGCACAGAGATTATTTATATTTCTCTTACGTAAAGATTAATGATTTCTGCAGTATTTTATGAGATAAAGTCTGTCTAATTTAATTTCACATCTTTCTGATGTATGTATGGGCTCGGGATATGAAGACGCACCCATTATTTCCTATGCAACATGGAAATACTCATTTACTAAAAACAAAAACCAAAAAGCCATTATTTTGGTACGCCAGTGATTAACTACTAATTGACCAAAAAACTTGAAATAAACCACTCTAACTTACAGAAGCTTCACAGAAAATCTTATCATTGGAAAACAGAAGGCTTTTCAAACAGCACTTGTGTAATGGTAAAACCAAATGCACACTTCGTAACCAAAGTACAGGTTACTGAACAGAAGTTTTCAACACCTTTAATGTTCCTGTTACGTTTCTATTCTTTACAGAAATCAGAATTTTAAAGCTAAAAGAACATGAAAAGCTTTTCATGAAGAACAGCTTATTTTAGTAATACTTTAGTAACCACATATTAAAAAAAGGCAACTGTAGTTTGTATCAGTGGCCAGAACATTTTTCTTACAAGAACATTCTATTTTAAAATGTCCAACCTTTATCAATAAACAGAAATACAATTAAGACCTACAGTCCACATCGACATTAACATTGCCAAGATTAGCATTCAAGAATCAGGACATATTAAAGAAAGTAAGCACAGATCCTGAAAGGTAATCTCTTACTTAACAATATTGCCTAGTTCTGAGACAGAATATTCACTTCAATGTGCGAATGCTTAAAGCTTTTAGAGATCGCCAAACATACCTCAGCACACGTATGCAATCTTACCTACAGTCAGGCAGAACTGCAGCACATGGACTGCCCCTTCCTGTTTCAGGAAGTTCATAAACCGAAATAAAAGGTCTTGCTGATCTCTGATCTCCTTTAGCTCCAGTTTTAGGACCTTAATAGGTAAAAAATGCAGTCAGCTAATGTTCAAACTTTCAGTGAGTACATAAATAATGCAAGGAGTTGTAGAACAAAAACAACAGGTAAAGTAAAACACTTATTTAAAACAGGGAAGGAAATAAATGTTGCCTTTGCTTACAGATGGTTTTTTATTTCTTGGCTCTGCAAATTTCTGAAGGAATGGAACCAATGAAGAAGTAGGTTCAGTTGCTTTCTCAGGCTGTAGAAAAAAATGACAAGAGACAATTAGAAAGCTTCCTTAATGGATGAACAAACTACTACTGTTTTAACTTTGTCAGTACTCACTGGACTATCATCAATGAAGATCAGCAGCAAATGGTTGACAGTGTCCTGCAGGAAAACACAATACAAAATTACTATTAAAGAAACTCAACAGATTAGATGAAAATCATTTCACTACTATGTTATGACCAAGTTTAAACCTGTGAATATATTAATATTTAAAAAAAAATCCAAAACCAAAACCACAAAGCCTGGCAACACATGTTTGAGAATTAACCTTCAACAGTGTCTTCAAGTATTTACAAGTCAGGGAATTTCCGAAGAGTCCTGCACAGAAACATTCTTTACCCAGTGGAGGAAAGCTCTACAAAGTATTTTTACTGTTCCTGCAGACCTAATGAACTACTAATACTTCCACAGCTACAGTACTTTCTGCCCACAGCTAGGTGATACCTTCTTAAGTATTGCAATTTTGCCTATTAAAATACATGCATAAATAAAATAAAAGATGGCAGTGTTCCATCTTTAGAAATAAACACTCTCTTATTTGCAGAATTAAGGACAAAAGAATTGATTTCAATACAGCTGCAAAAAAGGCTGGTTTACTTACACTGCTATAAAGATACATACAGCTAGAGCTCAAGTAATTGAGCCCTTGTTTCAATGTAGTTATAGCAATTAGAAGGTGCTTATAACTAGCACGGTATTCTCCCATTTGACAGAAATAATAGTCCCTCATTAAAAATACATTCTTAAGAGATCATGCCAATACTGTATTTTAGTCAGTTAAGCATTCAAACCAGTTACAATGAACAAACAAAAACATTGGCCACAAGATTTCTTTTTCTTCTACCCAGCCAAAATGCACAGCAAGTCAAGTCACTGTGCCTCATTTGCTTTACCACAATATACTTAGTAAGAAAACAGTAATACTGAATAAGTTAAGATTATGCCTGTGCTCCTAAGTCTTACAGGATCAGCTAAGAAATCCATTGAGGGAAGGAAAACAGAACCAGGTAGAATCTCTCGTATCAGAAGAGCCAGGGATCTGAAAAAGGGGGGGGGGGGGAAAGAAAGAAAAAAAAAAATCAGAACCAATACTAGATTACATAATTTTCTAAGTGACGCTTCCAATGCCATTATATTTTACTGGGAAATATTATTAAACACTAAAATACCTTAAGTGTGCTAGAATATTTTTAAAACCAATCAAAACACCCATAAGCAAAGGGATAACAAGGAGGGATGATGAGGATGATTTTGGAGTTCATTCTTTCACTACCCAAAATTATTGTACTACATAGTATGCAGATACTTTAAAGAATATAATTCTAAATAATTTCTATACCTGCACTCTGTTGACTTTGGGGGCAAAATATAAGGAAAAAGAAGTTCAGTAAGTTTTCTTAAGTAGTGAAGTTCATCTCTTCGGCTTCTCAAAGCAACATGGAGTTCTGGTCCATATTCTTCTAAAGCAGCTTGCTGTAAAAATTCTGCATTTTTTACTGCAAGTAAAAAAAACAGTATTACAAGTTGTTTCAGCTTTTTCTTATTGTGAAATAAGAGGTGACTGCTTTTCATTTGAGCTAAAAAGTTAATACTTTTAGTACATATACACCTGCCAAAAAGGATGCGATGTTGAATATTTACAAAAGAACCTTGGCTTAGACTTTGAAGCCTGGACATGTAAAAGTAAAACCTCACACTGAAATAAGAATTCCTTCACCAAACAATTGCAGTTTGCATGTTTTCCAGAATTTTTTCTCATTTATAATTATTGAAGAACTCAACATCTTGATTATTCTAAAAAAATGCATTGCTCAAAGCCTGCCTCTACTTGCTTTTTTCCTGACCTCCTTCACTGTCTCCCATTTATTGGGCTTCTACCTATTGACTTGCCTACAACACAATTTGAAATCAATGTAAACTTAAATTTTCATTCAATCCTGTTATATCCATTTCCTGCTTAGAACGTTTAGAAACAAATGTGAAGGAACGTATAAACACAACATAAATCAAACCAAAACCAGCATGGGGATCTGCAAGAGTGCTGCCTCTTATAAGTAGTTGTATGGAGTTGAAAGAATACCTGCTTTATCAGATTAAAAACTATACATATTAATTAGAAGCAACAACGTTACATTCCTTCAAATAATTTCAAAGGCAAGAACTGAGCTGTAATAAATCACACCTAGCTGCACTAGCAATCTGGCACAGCCTCATGCCAAGAACCACACCAGTCACAGGTCAGGTACCTAATACATACCTGTTATGTAGTAGAAGGTTAAAGCTCATTTCTAGCATATTGAATTTAGTACAGAAGCCTGCTAGCTTGTCCTTCACAACCAAGAACCATGAATGGTATCAGCTGATAGTGGGGATGCAGGAATGTATATTGCCTGATAAATCTGCCTAGCTGGTGTCACTAAAAGCAGAGAGGAGGCATGCACTCTTGGCAAGGACAGGTAATGAATGATGGAGGCGTCTCTGCAAATACTGAGGAATTACTAAAGAGACGTAATGGTAAGAAGAACAGGAAAAAAGGAAATGCCCCCTAAAGCAATAATTTTAAAAAGCGTTTAGAAAATAAACAGAAAAGGCTAGGCTCAATTAGCAACCAAAGCAAGGCCTGAAAGCTGCCTCTGAATCATGTATTACAGTGGCTGGTTTAGCAATGTTTACCAGAAAGCAGTACTAAAAGTCATTTTCAGCTGCTACTTCACATATCTGCCCTCAAGGAACGAGTCTTTTCCTTTAAAACATTGAAGAAAATAGCTATATTTTCAGTGCCATACATTTAAAATACAGTTCTTTGCTGCTAAAGAAGTGTTTTCAACTCCATAGTAGAAATCAAAGGAAATACGAAATTTGGCATAAACAGCACTGCAAGATAATCATAGAA